CGCAAGGCTATGTGAAACTCAATTGAAGCGTCAGCTCTATTCATATGATTGTGGGAGAATTCTACTACCAGTCCTTCATCACTTTAAACGGAATGGTTTGATTACATCTCATACTACTGATTTACTGGTAGTCTCGAAAATCTACGTTTATACGAAAAATTATCTTAGGCCTGCCTGGGTTATTTGATGTGAAATAGGGTGAAAATTGGGACTTTTGGAACATTTAGATGAGCATTGTGCTGGATTTGTGTGAGCCCCATTCCGTCAGGGTCCCCTCAAGGACTAGCGAAAATCCGAGTAGATTTTCTTCCTTCAACCAGATACAGGAATGGCTATGATATCATGCCTGCCTAATTATCCCACTCCACTTAGTAACTAAACCTTAAAAACATTATGAAATGTGATGAAGGAATGAATGCTGAATTTTCTCACAATGATATGAGTAGTCCCTACATTTTCATTCAACTTCACATAGCCTTGCCTCACAAAACCAAGGCTGGACTAAAGTTTCCAACTCGCTCACCGGTCCTTCATCATCTCGAACGAAAAAGAGTAAACACATTTCATATATCCAATTTACTGGCAGTCTCGAAAATCTAGCTAAATCCATTTGCAGATCTCATCTCTCCTCGCCCAGTATCACTGACAGACTCTAGCACTCTTCGGTCAGGATCCACCCGAGACAGATGAGAAATGTCTGGTTGCTGGGTCAACACGATGGCCTTGAGCTCCCAATTCAGCGGTGGTCAAATGAATAATCGAACTACTTGCATGACTTAGAAACCAAATCTGATTGAACTTTAATACAAAATTGCTATGGATACCAGCGAATTTTTGAATGCTTTTTTATTCATACTACTTAAATGCGGCTAGTAGAATAATTAGGCAGGTTGAAGCAAGATGAGGATATTTCGGTTTCTGAGAGCACCTGCTTTGACAGACGGACGGACGGACGGAGGGGGGTGAATTCGAAGGAGCTACCGATATAGGACATCCCACTTGTGATGGGATATGAGCGCTGATTGAGCTCATTGAGCCCAAGCATCCAAGCTCGAATCCGGCAGACGAGGTGGGCAGCTGCCAACAGTGCCATGGAAATGAGTAAAACAAGTGAATGATGGCCGGTGACAACTCCATTGTAAAGAATTTATAGAATACATAAAACAGAAAATAAATAGAATGTAAAAATAAGTTGACCGTGTCTGCGCTAATTGGGACTTGTGAGCAAAGGCGCTTCTCTGTAAGTTACTTTTTACATCCAACAAGTTGGAAAAATTCCCACCTCCCATAGAATGTCGCCCATGTCCGGTGAGGTAGGGCATTTCTATGCTGGAGATAGGCTCATTCAGCGATCTCATTCGTTGGACTTGAGGCCGAGCAGAGTGTAACCATGCGACTTATGATGGACGACCACCGAAAGCGCTTCATCCCGTTTTCTGCCGAAGTGTGCTCAGAGTTGAGTCGTCATGTTCCGGTGGATCCGGCATTCTGCCGCTAAAATTGCCTCAAATCTGGCATTCCATCGTCATGTTGCCTCCACTCCCAAAGAGCTATGGACCGGCGGTGCAGGTCACCCTTTGTGCGGCTGTCGCGGTGGGTCAATCTTTTCTTGCGCAGTCGGAACGTCGGTTGGATTGAAACAGAACTGGCGAGGCGTCGACGCAGAAGCTCAAGAGTCACCAGTTGTTGGATGCAGTGTTGCGGGCTGGATTGGTTGGCCGACATGTTGACGACTCGCCAGTTGACATGAGATGGGAGCAGAGGAAGAAGGTGTCGGGTGTGGGCTGTGGGCTGTGGGGTGTGGGATGTGGGGTGTGGGGTGTGATGGAGGTGAAGAGGGGGGAACAGAAGCCACCGGCTTCCGGTCGGGTCGGCCCGATGCTTCACAGATTCAACTTGAGCCGAGGAGCATAGGCCGGCAGGCCGTGTCCCGGCACCGACTGTCCGAGGTCCATGTGCAACTCGGCCGGACTGAGTCCGAAGCTCCGCACCTGACTGTAGGTGGGCGCCTCGAGGCCGGACAACGAGTCCTGGCAGATGGTACGCAATTGCAACCAATGCCGAGGAGGAGGAAGATGATGATGATGATGATGATGATGATGATGCTGATGCAGAAAAGCGTGCCCATGGAGGTGGTGGTGCGGCGGAGGCAGTGGGACGGGCCGGCAGGACTCGGGCTCGGCCCAGCCGACCGGGGGCTGGCCGGTCGGGCCGTGGAGCGAGGTGACGAGCCCGGCCGAGGCTGGCGGTGTCGAGTGAAGCTGACCGACGGAGGGTGAAACCAACGAGCCGGTTGTCGGGGTCTGCGATCGGCGGCCGAGGCCGAGGCCGAGACCGAGACCGGTCGGATAGAGGCTCGAGCAGAACGAGGACTTGAGCGAGCCCAAAGCGCTGGCACCGCTCTCGTACAACGCCCAGCAACCGCGACGAGCCAGCACCGTTTCTGGCGTCACGGATACACCAGACGCTCGTGGGAACATCTCGTTGTTGCCAGGCCTCCAAGACTCGTTGATCATTGCTAGTCCACAAGGACGATACAGACTGAGTGAAAACTCGACTCGTCAGCTTATAAAACCCGACAAACGAGTCGATCAACACAACCAAACACGGCCCAATTAGCCCCGGTGAAGCCCAATTAGGCTCAACATTCTCTATCTCTCTCCCCATTCACGTTTTCCTCTACTCTCCCGTCTTACCTGCTCTCTCTCACCTCACGCACACACGCACATTCAGCCATATTTCAAGCCTATACTCACCCACACACACACACATGCATACCTACTTGTACACACAACATGTCACTAATTCACAGACACGTGCGTCCGCTGGACGCAGACGGACGCGGAAACATGTCGCCCCCTCGAACACAGACGCTTGTCCGGTTGTCAGGTTGCCGAGGTCAGCATGGCTACCCAATGTGGCGGGAAGTGGGTGTGAAGCCGGCCCGGTCACTTGGTGCCAGCATCCAATGTGGTACCAGCGCGACTGTGGACGAGACGCTGGCAAAGGCACAAGTGTCACGGGTCAGAAAGGAGAAGTGATGCAAATGCGTGTCGTCAACTGCCTGCCTGCACAGGTTGCCGCCTCGAAAGCGAGTTGGCAACAGACGGGAGCCACGTGGATGAAGGCAACTGTAGGCGGAAAATAGGCCAACCCATCGGACTCGATTGCGATGACATGACGCCGACTTGGCCGACGACCCAAGTTTGCCTCAACCCACGCGAACTTCGCTTCCCAACATGTCGCCAGAGCAATCCGGCTCCAATCAGCTGGCCTAAGGCTTCACCTCGAATCCCCCTTCAACCGGTTGGCGAGTCCACATGCAAAAAAATGTGTCATCACCTGACGCGAGTCTTTCGGCTCGACCCGCGCGGACGGTGATTGCATCTGCCATTGTTGTGGCCTCGGTTTCGACGATAAACTGAGTGGGTTGAGGGGGTTCGCCTCAGTCGGCCTCAGTCGAAGGATTGAGAGGATATGAAAGTAGAAAAGCTGCACACAAGACTGACTCACACTTTTTCGTGCATAGGCAGAGTTTCGAGACTGCCAGTGATTCGGTTATATGAAATGTAGTCACTCTCTATATGAAATTCAATGGGAACGTGGGATCTATTCATATCATTGTGGGAAAATTCCACTACAAGTTCTTCATCCTATAACTGACAGTTGGCTTTTCTAGATACGAGTAAAAACTGTGTTTCGATGGATCTCCTGAGATAACATTGTTAGAGGGACCTTCATTTCGTATGAAAGTGCATGGTCGATCTCACCAGATGATGACGGATGAAACTGGTTGTACCGCAGCCGGTTTGATTGTATACGATATTCATGTTGACGCAGTCCACGGGACTTGCTCCCTCGCCCGAAATGTTAGAGTAAGCTCATCTACCAAACCAGACATGTCAGATTACGCAACCTTAGTCTTGCCTTTTCTTGGAGGGTTAAACGTTAATGACCCTTGACTGAAAGGTTAGGACAAGTGGTTTCGTAACTTTATTATCATGCTTACAAGATCATATTTCATTATCTCAACCATACTTATTTACGGACCTAGGCAGTCTCGGTCAAGGATTTCTATTGGGTCATTAGGTCTTGAGGATCAGAACATGAGATTTAACCTTTGGCAAGTCTGATTTAGGAACCATAATGCATATAGACGCTAACATTCACAAATATACATACTCATACAATCGAGCAAAAATAACAAAACCATTGTAGATACGAAGAGAAACTGGGTTTCGATGAATCTCCTGAGATAACATTGTTAGAGGGACCTTCATTTCGAATGAAAGTGCATGAAGAAGAGATTCGTTGGTCGATCTCACCAGATGAGGACGAATGAAACTCGTTGTACTGCAGCCGGTTAACGGATGAAACTCGTTGTACTGCAGCCGGTTGGTATTCGTTGGTCGATTTCACCAGATGAGCACGGATAAAACTCGTTGTTGAAACAGTCCACGGGACTTCCTGCCTCGTTTCGGGTGAAAACGTGCTGAGC